GGAGTTAAATGGTCGTAGACCACGAGGCAGACCAAGAAGACGATGGAGAGATAATTTTCAGACAGACGTACAAATATTTTGTGTCATCAACTGGGAAGAGACGGCCAACCATACAGATGAATGGAGGCGAGTGATATCTCCTGCAATGAACCTCAAGGGTTCGGAATGCTGCAGAATAAGAAGAAGACTTAAGGCCACGATTAAATCATTATTGGTATGTGGATCAGAAACACAGAAGATGACTGCAACAGTTACTAATGAACAACCGACATTCACTAACTGGTGCCAACGCAGAATGAAACTGAAATGGCGTGATAGATTGTCTACTGTGGAGCTTATGGATTGAACTATATAACTCTTTATAACAAAGCAAGTTCAGATTTGGTCAGGGCATGCATTGAGAGAACCTAATAATAACATAACTAGAAAGTTTGTCTCTGGAACGGCGGAACAAAAGAAAATAAACAGACCAAAAGAAACATAGATAGTGATTAAATACAGAGATTGGGAACATAGGGGAAGCAATAAGAGATTACAACGGATAAAAGGGTTTGGAGTGATGGCCTATATTTAATGGCTCACTAGAGAGTAATGGACTTGACTGGTGGCTGTTTAATATAATGTTGTTGTTGATGATATTCTTTTTATTATGATTTTTGTCATTTTTATTTTTATGGATTAAATCTACTCTGGTATAATTGCTTATATGTTTTGAAGAATTTGGACTGGTGATGACCCTCTTATATCATAGCAAACAACACGCTCGATTTCAGAATGTTTGGAGTGGATCTAGAGCTCACTTTTCACTATTATCTTGCGGGAATTTCTGTTTCTCTTGCAGCCTTCCGGTGAGCACAGTTATAGTCGTCAGCTGGCTTCAACACACGTGAGACCATTAGCGATTCCCCATCGTTAGCCGGACTACAGTCATTTGACTTTGTCTGTGGTCTCTGGTTGCAGCAAGATGGCATGGCCATTGCAGCAATTATACAACCAAGACATCACGGAGCACTTATTGTACAGACCATTTTAACTAATGGAGGATTACCCAGTCTTAACTGTGATGAAGCCTGACTAGAAATCTAGACCACGAGACGACAAAACAACCACGGCAATTCCATGTGATACAGACAGCAACATATTCAAATGAATGAAAGACGAACTTTATTTGAATAAAAACTTTTCAAGAAATAACTTGTTCTATAGATCACAAATTGTTACAAGTCATTTGAAATATCTAATAGTCAGGCTCTATGAACAACTGTACACACTGTTAGCTACAATCGGGTCTACATTTCAGCACAACAGCTGTTTATTTAGAATATATATTCTTTCATGATGTAAGCTCCAGCCAGATTGCCACCAACAGTTCCTCCAAACATGCCTCCGAAGATGTCGTTAGGTCGGCCACTGCTCGGATTCCGGTCATAATAGGCGTCCAGCAAAGGCCTATCAGGGGGGCCATAATATGCTGTGTAGATGACATGAATGCAAGAATTTATCAGCAACAACACGGAAGATACAAGCAGCATATAGTTTAAAATGTTGAGAAGCGTTAAATGTAAATAAATTAACGCAATAAAAAATATGACATGCATTAAATATTGAATTATAGTTCGTTCAACTTCTCATGAACACACTTGCAAACCATTTCCTAGAAAACTGCCTGTTAGATCGCAACTATTTTTTTTTTTTTTTCATGGAGCCTTATATTATCCATGATGTTAAGTAAATATTTTTTTCCCTAAAGAAGAATATCATTTGTAGTTTTTTCTTTTTTCTTTTTTTTTTTACGATATAAATTTTTATCACAAAACGTCTTGGTAGACTTTTGGAAGCTTTACTTTAATCTAGTTTCAGGAATTAATGCACACTATGCCTGTTTACCAGTGGGTCAAAGAGAAACAAGGTAAATATCATGATTTTCTCGTGCACAGTCGCACTCTTAGGTGGGTACCATATGCAGAACTGGGAAGTAAAGGCTGCCGGTGTGATGCTGACCACATCACCCACCAAGTGCCGATTAGTCTATAAAAAAATAGGTCTAGCCCTGTATTCCCAATACGCCTAAAGGGGACCTTTACTTTTACTTTATTGTGTCATATAGCTAGCTTGTAAAAGATGACATAAACATCAATTTCAAAATGAATTTGAGATAAAGATTTATAACTAAGCAGGAGGCTACCTTTTTACTGCACCAGCTCTTCCTCAGGGAATCTCAGAACGGTAATTTATATTGTGATATTCATGACTGAGAAAAACAAACACGTTTGGCGCTTGGTCTGGATAGAGTATAATCTAACCGTTGGATTAGACAGGATACAGAGTTCACTCATGTCAAGCAAAGAAGGAAAATGAAAGTTGACGACTTTGATATAGACGTCACAAGAAGTAAATTTTCTTTCAAAGTAAGTGCATCTGCCTGCTGCATACAAATGACTCAGACCTGTAAAATGGATGCACACGCAACACTCAGGTTCTGCAACAGGACTGCAGTCCAAAAGTGGATGAACAACCAGAACTTTTCGCCAGAGTTTACATCTGGTGAATGCGAAGACGAAGAAGATCAGAAGTGAGATTTTTAAAATGTTAGAGACAAATCAACTTGTTACTCTCCGAAAACGGAAATTAACGTTAAAATCACAATGCAGTATGGACATTAAAAAAAAAAAAAAGTCTGTGGAAAATTGTAAGAGCCACCTGATTCACTTTCATAAAAACTGTAGGTGGAAGGAATATTATTTGTGAAGAGCCACGTTTGATTGCTAGTCGAGGCAAATACCTGAAGCAGATCCGTGAGCGACGGATGCAAGGCTGTGATATTGTATATTTTGATAAATCCTGCATTAATGCTCACCATACCTATGCTAAAGAATAGCAATCAGTAATCAGTGAACAGTAAAGAAACATTCCAAGTAGCAAAGGCCAGCGCATTATACTCAGTTATGCAGGAATGAAGTGGAAAAAGCCTTATCCATGATGCTGGACTTATTATCCGATTATAAAGTATGGATTGTAGTGTCTACCATACTGAAATGAATGGACACATTTTCAGGCATTGGACGGAGAATGATCTTTTTCCAATTCTAGACAGACCATCATGCCTAGTAATGGATAATGCCGCTTATTATGATGCTGTATCAGAGGAAGACAAAGTACCAACGACATCAAATACAACAGATCAAATAAGGACATGGCCTGCTAGGAAAAAAGTCAACTTTGACCAGATATATGTGAAGGCAGAGTTGTTGCAGCTTGTGAAAAAAAATCATTAATGAATACGGCCACACTTCTCTGCAACTCTTACTTACTTACTTAGTCGCTCCTCTTCTACCTTGGGGTGTAGAGGTTTGCCAGAGAGATCGCCAGACGTCTCTATCAGCAGTTTTCTTTCTGGCTTTGTTCCATTCCAATCCTCTGTGAGTTAGGGACTGTCGGATGTTGTCTTCCCAGCGCACCCTGGGTCGTCCCGGAGGTCTGGTTCCCTGGTTCATAGCGTCCCATGCTTGCCATGCTGGGCGATTTTCTCCCATTCTGCATACATGTCCAAACCATCGTAACTGTGACTGATCTACTCGGGTTAGTAAGGGCTATCAAGATCTTGACGTATTGTCTGATTGCGGACTTTGTCCCTTCTTGTCACTTGGACCACCTTTCTCAGGTATCTCATTTCCGAGGCCTGCAGCTGGCTTCTGTGAGCTGTTGTCATTGCCCATGACTCACACCCATAGGTCAGGACTGGTACATAGGTAGAGCGGTAAACAGCCATTTTCGTCCTCTTGCCAATTTCTCTTTTGCTAAGAAACCCTCGGTTTATGGCCTGGAAGAGTCTCCCAGCAGCTGCTTTTCGTGTAGTTAGCTCAGTCTTAATGCCTCCATTTTTGTCTAATACAACTCCAAGGTATTTGAACTGGTTAACCTGCTCCAACGCATACTGTCCCATCATGATCTGGTGTTTCTTCTCCTCTCTTGAGATCACCATGGTTTTAGTTTTGGAGACACTGATGGTCATCTCTGTCTTCAGCAGCAAACAAAGAGTTCTAAATCTGATGGCACCAGTAGCTCTCTGAATGTATATTAGTCTCGCTTTTCCCTTGAGTGTTGAGCGTCGGCCAGATCGCCTGATGCAAAACATGGCTAGGAAATTTGACGTCAGGAAAAGGAAAGACGAACACAACTACAAACGAATTCATCAATTAAAGTCTGTATCAACGAAAAAACCTACAAGAATCGATTACCTTACTTCTTTATTGTCTTCTTTTGCATTCGTCCTTCAGTGTTCAGATGTATAGTGGTTTACAGCTAGGCTACGATATCAGCGTCTTTCGGCCCAACGCATCTAATTTCAGCAAACCTCTAATTAGGCGCCTTCGACGCCAGGTTTGTTAGGGCTCAATGGCTGTGTAATTCAACCCATCCGGACCTTACAAAAAGCGACCAACACCCGGGGACACAAAGTGACACCATTCGGATGAGAATCACCCGTTCAACTATTAGGTTATATTAGGGCCCCCAATCACAGCCGGGGTCGGGCATGAAAATAAAGAAAAATTGCGTACTATTTTGAAATGAGAATTGATAGCAGGGTTCAGTGGGTCTGCATTAAAATTATTAATGGAATCAGTCCTTTTTGCGTTTGGTTTCCTATTATCAGGTCAGACCATTAGATGGGCTGCCTCTGTGATAAATCTCGCATGTTGGCTGCAGGTGTATAATATATTCCTCCATAGCTTGCTCCGCACACTTTGCTCTTGAGGCCAGATATCCTTTCAAAGTTGTGAGTAGAGTTTGTAGGTCTGCAGAATGTGTTCAGATGTTTGTGGTCCTGTGGAGACTGTACAATCTTTATTTTATGCATGTGGCAGTTGAGCCTGTAGTGTCTTGTTCGTGAACTGAAAATTGTTGTATGTTGCTTTCTGTAGAGTCTCCTGATCGAGTCTTGTGGATGTTTACTGTTGGTTTGCTCTCTCCACAATTCCTTGTCCTTTCTATTGAAAAGTGTTTTGATTTCTGGTAATGACAATGAATACGTGTGTTGTTTCTGTTTTTTCCTTTTTTTTTTTAACTTGCAAGTCTGTCAGTCCAATCATTTCCTGGTATGCCTTAGTGAGCCGGGATCCACTGGAGAACGATTCGATTGTTTTTTTAAAAGTCCGTTTAGAGTCCAGCTTGTATAGATTTGATCTGGCTGCAGTGGAGTATGCTCTCATGCCATACTTCAGTTTTGGTCGTACGTATCCTGTGTATCCTTGTACAGTGTTGGCATCTGTATTCTATCTTGTTCCAGTAGACATAGTTTTGCCTTATATGAGAAAAACTTGTCAATGGAAGTGTTTTCTTGTAATTAGTTTTTGTGGTGTTGGATTCTCGTGGTTGTGTTCGTGGATAAAGACTTTGGTGGAAACATTCTGAATATATTTGTGTGCATCTCTCCTTTACTTTCATTCAAGCTGCTACTTTACTTCTCTTTCTATCTTTTCCGTCTTCTTAGCGTTCACTGGCCTGCCAACTTTGGCGTCAAGTTCTGATTGCTCGTCTATTTCTTTTTTCCGGACTTTGATCTTGTTCTAAAACTTGAGTTTCGCGTGCTCATGCGTACTACAGGTATTCCTTATGTTAATGAAGACTGTTGGTTCCCCGCCTCTCAGGCAGATGCACTCCGTCCTTAGACTTTGAAAGAAACACTCCTAATTAGTCGGCTTTTACGACATGCTTGTTCCTAGGACGCTATAATATTCTTTTTTTTTTTTCGCTGAGAGCACTAACAAACGGTGAGTCAGCTCAACTGTTACGTTCTAGGCGAGACAGTTTTAAACATATGCATATCTCCCATTCGGTTTCCCCAATGAGAGCCTCGTCTGCTCGGGAAAGCATTTAATAAATCTGCCTCAAACGTCAGAATACATGGCAACTTACGATCTGCTGGAGCCGATGCCCCATTGGCTTCAAATTCCTGCTCTATGGTACCCTGGGGTGGGCTCAAACCAGACGCTGCATCCCGGGCTTGTATCGGCATCGGTTGACTCAGGTCAGCAGTACTGGCTGCTTGTGGTGGGGGTCCCACGGGTACGGGTTGAGGCGGGGGTAACGGAAAACTTCCAAAACCAAAGTTGGAATTTGTGTTCGGGGGTGGACCATAATTTGGTGGAGGTGGGCCATAATTTGGTGGAGGTGGGCCATAATTTGGTGGAGGTGGGCCATAATTTGGTGGAGGTGGGCCATAATTTGGTGGAGGTGGGCCATAATTTGGGGGAGGTGGGGCATAATTTGGGGGAGGTGGGCCATAATTTGGGGGAGGTGGGGCATAATTGGGTGGCGGAGGTCCATAATTAGGTGGTGGGGGTCCGTAGTTGGGTGGGGGAGGCCCATAGTTAGCAGGTGGTACAGCGTTGGGCGGAGGTCCAATATTGGGAGGCGGCCCTGCAAAAAGAAAGGATTTATAGCTTGTGAGTTGGGTAAACCTGGAAGCATAAAAAGTAAATCATGTTCGTTATTATTATTAATATTGTACAGTTTAAGAATAACACCACAAATGAACAGCCTTTTACATTTCATTCTGACAAGTGTGTGTTCAGCGTATAGCAATGGCTAAAACAAGTAACCAGCAAAACATTTGAACCTGAAGCACAAGACATTCGGAAAAAACAAAACAAGTTTAAATGGTGTCCAACGGCGAGGGAGTCGGTGTTCATAGTTTGGACGTTTATTGTTTGTTCGGTTGTAAATGTTAATTAGCTATGGGGTTACATGATAATACATAACTGCACAAATATCAACCAATGTGATGATTCGGTTTATGTGAGGATACTGTTGTATTTTATCATGTGTCTTTTTTCTCACTTATATTTATTCTTTGAGTGTGTTTGTTGTGAAACTCTCAGTTTGGTAACCAATGGCTAGCACGTGGTGTGTCGAACCAGTAGACGTGTATTCGAATCCACAGTACAAGCTGTATTGTCTTTCTTTGTTCTTTTAATTACCAGTTTTCTATGTGTGGCACATTACCCGTCCTGAAAATTCAAAGACAAATTACTGTCATCCACTTAAAACACAAATTTAATGTTTTCTCCTCTTAAACTGGCCCATTGTAATGCAAGTTCTGTTTCCTTGCGTCAGTCTAGTTTTCTTAAACGCTCTATGTTACGTTGTACACTTACTTGTTTGGGCGGTTGTTTTCTGTCTACCTGTCAACAAGTCTTGCAGTTAGCAAGGTCATGTTATTTATGAAACTCAGCTAGTCTGAAATGAAAACTAGAGTTCCTATATTTTACGCAGTAATTTTTTTTTTTCTTTTCGTCCAGTAATTTTTTTAATGCAAAAAAGGGGTGGGGGGGGGGGGGGGGGCCTTGAGTTGTCTAGAGGTATGGCATCCGCCTCGAGTACTGGAGTCCCGGATTCAAGTCCTGGTGAAGGCTGTTTTATTTTCTTCTTTTTCAAATGGACTTCTAGTAATTTTCTCTGGTCTCTGGTTGTAAGATCTGACGCCCGTGTGTATCGTTGCGCACGTAAAAAATCCCTTGGCAGTTGGAAATCGAAAAGAGTAGCTTAACAGTTTTGAACGGGCAAGCTTTGGAGTTAAAAATCTACCCTAAGTATTTCAGGATTCTCACCGGTGCAACGGAGTTCGTGCACCGCGCTGAGATTCTTTAGACTCGTGCTTGAGTTTGAAGTAGAACGGAGCACTTATGGGTTACACCTGTGTGCTATGATGTTGATCCGTCGAATAAACCAACCAATATTTTATGCAAACTTTGTTATCTCTGATCAAAGTCACTGGCATGCACAGTGCACATTTTGCAAGCGAACATAAATTTTCACACTTTCTTTCTGTGTGAATTTGTGCAGCTGCAAACCGATCTTAAGTACACACAATACAGACGAAGAAATGTAGCAAAAAGTGCACTGCTAAAAAAAAAAATCATGTACACACGAACACTTACAGAAAGAGAACTGTTACCCATGAGATAGTCAAGTGTCGAGAATGAAAGCCGCAATGACATTTCCCGGTCCGGACAGTCATGTATCTGAATGTTGTAATTCCCGTGGACCACCGTCAGAAAGGACACCATAATACGATAGCTCAGGCGTCTTGAGCTCTCCCTGTCCCACCCACATCTTTTAGGGAAGGATATGGTTCTCCCCTGCCCTACAATTTTAGAGCCCCACCCACACAACAATTTGCACACAAAAAGGGGGGGGGGGGGGGGGGGAGGCAGCGGGGACTTATAATTATGTATAGTTAGTTGTGTATCGTTGACAGGACGTTGCAGAACAACCCCCAGCATTTCGTGCCATATTAAAAACGGTCTATTTTTAAGAATTTGCCTAATTATTTCATAATAATAAAAATATATTTTATATTTCTTGTTACATTTCATCACACAATAACAATTAAAACTAATTTTTAAAGTATTGTACACTTAAACAAGGCCTAATGTTTTTGCTCTTTGACAGCTCTTGGAAAGCTGGAAGAGGCGTAGCCCCCCGCCCCCACTAATTTCTTTGTCGCTTCACACCTGGCTATGTAAGTATGCATGTGTGTGTATGCGTGCGTGTGTGTATGTGTATGTATGTGTGTGTATGTATGTGTGTGTATGCGCGTGTGAGTGTGTGTATGTGTGTGTATGTGCGTATGTGTGTGTATTATCTGCATTTATGAGTGTGTGAATATATATATATATATATATATATATATATATATATATATATATATATATATATATATATATATATATGTATATGTATGTGTGTATATGTGTGTGTATGTTTGTATGTGTGTGTGAATGTGTGTGTACGTGTGTGTATGTGTCTATGTGTGTATGTGTGTGTATATGTGTGCTTGTGTGTATGTGTGTGTGAATGTGTGTGTACGTGTGTGTATGTGTCTATGTGTGTGTGTATGTGTGTGTATATGTGTGCTTGTGTGTATGTGTGTATAAGTGTATGTGTATGTGTATGTATGTGTATGTGTGTGTGTATTGTGCGTGTACGTGTGTGTACGTGTGTGTATGTGTGTATATGTGTGTATATGTGTGTGTATGTGTATGTGTGTGTGCGTATGTGTGTGTGTGTATAATGATTAGTGATTAGAAAGGATTGTGATCACAGCACTCCGGACAAATCCATAGGTGCTCTGATCTCCTCCTCAAAAGCCTCACAAGATGTATGTGTGTGCGTGTGTGTGTGTGTGTGCGTGTGTGTGTGAGTATGTGTGCGTGTGTGCGTTATAGTCGTTCTTTCTGTGTGTGACAGTCAATACATGTAGATTTTAAAAATCACATATGCTACAGGAAATCGTTTTAATTTTTTGCTTTAATTAGCGTGTATGTTATTAATTGCTGCTTTCCTTTTGTAAATATGTTTCACCTACCTTGCTTACATTAGCAAAAGACAATCTACATTCTTTGGTTATGTCAGGAGAAGGAACAAATTGGGTACATGCTGACAGTGGGGAAATTGGCGGGCAAAAGAAGCAGAGGGAGACCGAGAGAAAAATGCTGCACAATTTGACACCATGGCATGGAGAATTATCTGTGTAGGAGTTGACTGAAAGTACATCAGACAGAGGAAGTGAACAGACATGATTACCAACGCTACACCGCATGGACTGAAAGAACAGCATATAGCTAACGCCAAGGGTAGCAAAGTTACGTTGTTAAAATGTTTCTGTAATAAGGCTACCTTACCTTGGGGATTTGTAGCAGCCTGGACGAGTAGCGTAGCACACACAAGCAACACTGTATGCTCAAGTCTGGCGCGCAAATCTAGCGACATATTGGAAGAAAAACTCGAATAATGTTAAACACAAAATGGCGACACAGAGATATTGTATAAGACTGCTAGCGGGAAATGTCCTACCTGCAGTCGTCACAGCACGAGGCAAGAAACGGCGGTTGTCACACGAGGTATTACATCACTCTGTACCTTATGTCAGTGCGACTATATATCACTGTTTACCTGACGTCCTGGTGGATGTCTGTCAAGGCAGACATGTGGATAAGTCTCTTTGAAGGATGCCGAATCGCGAACCTCGCCTCCATCATTGGCCATCAATCTAGAATGAAAGAAAAAAAAAAAAAAAACATGCAGTATAAGATGTGTGGATATAAGGATTCCAGGAGGATTAAATAACGTTCAATATATGTTACACGTTGTTGTTAACGGGTGACGTTTTAAAGTTTAGGTGACTGTCAGTATTGTGTAGTGAAGCTATAGTAGTTATATAGGGGAATAATAGATCTACAGCAGTCTCCGTCAGCTCCTTTAACTCCGTTTAGCTCCTTCTAGCCTGCTGCGTTGTTCAGATCCTTTGTCATTCAGATCCTCTGTCAATCAGAAACCTGCTGCCCTGAACTGCAGTGGCCCGTTTTCTAATGTTGTGATATCTGTGTTATTGTCAAGTCTGTGAGTGGGTTGGGTAGGCCCCACCCTCCCCCCCCCCCCCCCCAAAAAAAAAAACTTTTCAATTTAAATCGCACCACTACAGAAATATAAATAACACGTTTCTCTTGAAATATCAACAACACGGTACACGGTCTGCTAACACTTTGCTATTTAATATCAACACAACCAACAAACACTTTCCTAGTAATTTTTTTTTTTAATTGTACTCACGGAAAGCCTGGTGATGTGTTCTGTTGTTAAATAACTAGCAAACAGTAAAGGAAATTTGGCCTGTTGTTGAATCGGTCTAGCCGGCAAAACAGCAGTCGAAGCAAATCTGGCCTGGTGTTGAATCATTCTAGCCGGTAAAACAGCAGTCGGAGGAAATCTGGCCTGGTGTTGAATCATTCTAGCCGGTATAACAGCGGTGGGAGGAAATATGTGGTCGTGTGAAATTGCTTCTTCTTAGATGGCAAACACAGTCGAGCTGATTCCGGCTGGTCATCAAAATCTCCGGAATTTTAAAATTTTTTCTCGTGAATAGAAGTATGACGGTCACGCGCACCGTAAAGACTCGTAACTCACTCGTGAGGATTTTACTTTTTCAATACTCTTGATATTGCTATGAAGGTTGAGCAAACTAGTCCTGGAAAACCAGATGATTTCAGTGATCTGGAAATTCTCGTGACCGCCATGGTTGCCATTAGAGAAGAGTAGAAAATCTTTAGTTAGGCTTAGTGATATCGCAAATAATAACCCCCCCCCCCCCCCCCCCCTCCCGGGGGGGGGGGGGACCAGCCCTTGGCGTCATCAGTTTGGTGTGGGGGGGTGTTAAAATGGCATATATATATATATATATAGTATATATATATATATATATATATATATATATCATCATATAGTCAGTCATATATATCAGTGTGTGTGTGTGTGTGTGTGTGTGTGTGTGTGTGTGTATGAGAGAGAGAGTGAGAGAGAGAGAGAGAGAGAGAGAGAGTGAGTGAGAGAGAGTGAGAGAGAGAGAGAGAGAGAGTGAGTGAGGAAATATTATGTCTACCGGTGCCTTGAAGCAATACCACCTCCCACTAGTTAGGCGATGGGGGTGGACCTCCCATTTCTTCTAATAATTTTCACGGGCTTCCTTGCCGGCCTATAATACTGCCAGGAAACGGAGTGACACAAACTATCTGTGAAAGTTCTCTTTTTAAGCATTTATTCAGAGATGTCATATGATTTAAAGTGTTTTATTATATGTATTTGTCATTCATCACAAAATAATGACAATAAATATAATAATAATGACAACTGCGCACTTAAAAAACCCATAAGACTGTTTAAATGGTAAGGAAGCTCACCGCTCCCTTCCCTCCCCGCCCTCAAGAGTTATCTGGGCCGGCCTCCCTTGTTTTACTGTTTGTAAATTACGATTCATAACATGTCCTTTTTTTTTTTTTTTTATTTCCACGGCAGCCTAAATTATTTAACGAAAACAGTGCTCGTCCTCTGGCCCCAAAACATACATTTTTCATGCTATAAAATCTACGTTTTGACATATGAACATCTACCATTCCGCTACAGTTATCTGCAACACTTAATGCCCAAACATGCTGTATATGTTTGAAAATGTTGCCACGCAACATTATCTTGGATGTGTGCTCTTGGCTCAACCAACCATTTTTGTAAATTTTTTTTTTTTAGTAACAGCTATGACGTTCATAAGAGACAAAATCTCAGAAAAGCTCTTTCCCGAACAAACATCTAGAACTTTCCGCCGGAGTTTACAGCCGGTGAACGGTAAAGAAAAAAAAAAAGGAAAAGCGCACTTCCTTCATTACGTAAAAACTTACATTTTCATCACATCGTCGGAGTTGCCAGTTTTCGATACGTTCTCCTTCACAATAAATACTGTTTTCCCGAAATTAAGACCTAAATAAAAAAATAAAAAAAGCCCTAGCACATTTACGCCCTAAAATGTTAGTTGCGTGCCCTTTAAAGGTCGTTGCAGAACCAACAGCAGCATTTTGTGGATGTTTGTGATTTCACGCGGAAATTTAACATTCCGTGGCTTGCCACAGCCTCTGACCTGTCAAAGCCAACGCAATGTGGTCTACTGCCAAATCGCCAGCAGCTGGGATCGAACCTAGCACCTTAGAATTACAAAGAGCGTTGGCAATTGCTTTTGATTAAATATTAATATAAATTAAACTGAAGTATTTGTAAAATGAAAAGACACATAAAGTATGCCCTAAGTCGCCATCTAAAACAAAAATTAATATAAGACCCAGTATTATTTTCAGGGACGACGCTCATGTCGACTGGTTATGGCAGAAAATACTACAAGATGAAGTCTGAGACAGATCAAACATGGGCAAAGTAAACTGAAAACGTCACTCACGAAATAAACTTTCTCTTATAACATAATGCGTAGACGAAAAAGTTATCATGTAGCTCTTTTTATATTATATTGCGAGGTGGGACCTTGAATGTAGTATGGCTGCTTGCCAAGTCAAGCTTTAACATCGTAAAAATGAAGACATGCAGATCTTAACTCCCAGGCCAGAAGATCAGGAGATAGATGTTTAAGTTTGAATAATTAAATGCAGTCCCACAAGAAATATGATCCATTACATGCATGTCAAACTGACAAGAACATGGTGGTCACATGACAATGCATGTTTTCATTGTGCCTGCATGACTGACTGACTGACTTTCTACTCCACCAGGACATCACACAAGCGATTAACATCCGATGACACAAAGTGTCACCATGCGGATGAGGATCACCGTGGAGAGGTCCCAGAAACCGCGTTCAGACATTTGCCATATTGTGGGCCTGCCTATATTGCGGCCCGCGGCAAAAGCCAGGGTGGAGCTTCAAATAAAAATTTCATCCTGAAAAGGACGATACAGAATAATACGGGTATTGTGGCTGCATAATATTGATGGATATACATATTTATTTACAAGGTCACGTTTGTTCAGAAAAGCACATTATACTACTCGCAATGTCTTGCACTGTGTAATATATAATATTACTATATACACATAATTATTGTTTGAATATAACAAATTTTACACAATAAATAGTTTTAATGTTTTGATTTTCAGTGTTTAGAAAAACCATATCAAACATATGGGTATGAAACAAGGTGTTCAGGTAGTTTCGGATCAAGAATCTGGTTTTCACATCACTGGGTACAAACGTTTAGAAAGTCAGCTTTTACCGTTTGGGTACAGAGAAAAATATTCAAACACTTCACGCACATTTGAGTTCACATACTTCGGAAGAATATGAGCTTCACTCACTTGGATACACTTGGGAAGAATATGAGCTTCACGCTCTTGGGTACAATTGGCAAGAATATGAGCTTCACTCACTTGGGTACACTTGGGAAGAATATGATCTTCACGCACTTGGGAAGAGTATGAGCTTCATGCACTTGGGTACATTTGGGAAGAATATGAGCTTCACGCACTTAGGAAGAATATGAGCTTCACGCACTTAGGAAGAATATGAGCTTCACGCACTTAGGAAGAGTATGAGCTTCACGCACTTGGGTACATTTGGAAAGAATATGAGCTTCGCGCACTTGGGTACACTTGGGAAGAATATGAGCTTCACTCACTTGGGTACACTTGGGAAGAATATGAACTTCACACACTTGGGTACACTTGGGAAGAATATGATCTTCACACACTTGGGTACACTTGGGAAGAATATGAGCTTCACGCACTTGGGTAGAATATGAGCTTCACGCACTTGGGTAGAATATGAGCTTCACACACTTGGGTACACTTGGGTAGAATATGATCTTCACACACTTGGGTACACTTGGGTAGAATATGAGCTTCACACACTTGGGTACACTTGGGAAGAATATGAGCTTCACGCACTTGGGTACACTTGGGAAGAATATGATCTTCACGCACTTGGGTACACTTGGGAAGAATATGAACTTCACACACTTGGGTACACTTGGGAAGAATATGAACTTCACGCACTTGGGTACACTTGGGAAGAATATGAACACATACACAGGTAGAATTAAATATTGCCAATTTTTTGAAAGCAAATTGTTCATATTCCCAAACCCATGAGAAAGAAAGGAAACAAATATCAGTGATTAAACTTCACTCTAAGGACTGGGCACAACAGATTTCGTCAACATAATTTTAAAATTTTCGGTATAGGAAATACTGAGACGTGTCCCTGCAGCGTGGCATCCGAAAATGCTGAGCATGTGCTACACTGTCAACTGTATGCTGACAACAGAGACGCAATGTGGCCTGTCCCAACCACAATGAAGACAAAACTGTATGGTACACGAGAAATTATGGATTGCAAATTAGCTTTTATAAAGGCTACCGGCCTCCTGATATAAGTTTTCTGACAGAAAGATCAAAGAAGAAGAAGAAACTTCACTTAATTTTGCTTTGAGTGTAGAATTGTGATGTCAGCCCAGAAAGCGCCATCTATATTATCTGTTGCCACTGCAACCACCGGAAAATGGAATTCTGAGCACAGAACATTTGTCTTCAGTCATCAAACTTTCACTTTTTCTAAAACTCATTTTGGGGTTTCATCTTTATGCAGATCGTGATGAACAGCATGTTTAC